TGGGCTGCGTGTCCTTGAGCTGCTCCCTGGGCCTCACTCAGCTGTGCTAAAGATGGGCCTCCCCTGCCTTGAAGTGAAGGTCTGAGCCTTGGAATTGCTGAGTGGGGGTTGTAGGAGCGGGCTGGGGGTTCTAGGAGTGATTGTGCCTTGGAATCTTGTGTATGCCCGAACCTCTTTGACTTCCCCCAGCTCAATGAGTTTGTTCAAGAGAAGATAGGACATCTCGACCAAATACTGCCTTTCTGTCTGCCTTAGGGACCTTACTCAGGGATTGTGGATCAGATGATTCCAGCTGTGCCAGGTGCTGTCCAAAACCACAGAAGTACAGATATGCCAGTGCACAGAATCACATCCCTTTGGGTTTATGCCTGTATGTTTTGTTTTTACAATAATTACTAAACCACAACTCGTTCTCCTCTGCACAAAGCCATTTGTCTCCTGTTGAACAGTAACCTTTTATTTGCTCATGCTGTGTAGCAGAGCTCAAGGACATGTTTACTGCCGATAGCCAAAATTTCACCAGAACAAGCATCTCCCTTGTCTGGATTTTTCCACCTTGATTTAAGTGGTTAAACCTCAGGGAAGGAGAATAGCCCTGTGTGCAAGGAGACAAGTGGGAGTTTGTGCTGTTCTTAGTCATGGAGAGAAAGCTCCCATCTCCATGGGCTTGGAGTATTGCATGTCCTGGATGTGCAAAACACTGCTGTGAGGGTCTCACCTCTGCCCAAGTAATTGCGTTGTCAGGGATCTGTCGGACCTCGCTGTGTTTCTCGCTCACACTTCACCTGCTTAGTTACAGATTTGAAATTGCAAACCCAACAGAATCCATTCTTTTTCCCCTTTGCTCAGTGGTAAGTTTGGCTATTCCTGCCTCCCTTTGATGCTGAGGAGAGGAGGTGATAGGAGTGGGGTTTGGCTGTATGCTGAGATGTGTGATTCGGGAAGGGATGTTGGCTGGTTTAATGCGTGTTTTCAGATGCCTGCCTTGGCTCTGAAATCAGGCTGGCAGGGGCTGTGCTCCCACGGAGGGCAGAGGACAGCTTTGTGCCTTGAAGATTTGACGACCTTTGTTCATTTGAAACGCCCTGTTTTTTTATGCCACTCAACAGGAGACTTTTTAATTTACTTCACTGGGCCTGGACGCTGGAGGTGGATGGATGGCTGATGGAAGTGAGGAAATAGATGGAAGAAAAAGAACATTTTTCTCCTGGGCTGTTTTTATGCACATTATAGCCTAGGGGTTTGCAACATGGGGGAGAGTCAAAAGCCCCTGCAGAGCCTGGGTCAGAAAATATAATTCTCATGGGAACAAAATGCTTTTAACTTGCTGCATCAAAGACCCTCCGTTCCAGGGCATGCTCTGTGTTTGAATACATCTGCATTCCTCCAGAACTCTGTATGTGAATGCACATGTATGTTGTGTGTATCTATGTGTGTGTACTTTTGCATGATTTATAATCTCAAAGCCCTTTCTGTCTGCCTTGGAATAGCTCAACAGTTGAACCTACTTTCAGAAGGAGTCAAAAGCAAAAAGCTCTCTGGCTCCAAAGCCCAGGTCTGTAGCTGGAACACCTGCCTGGGACTGAGGTGTGAAAAGCCCTCCTGGCTCCTGCCCTGGAAGGCCCCCTTGACTCTGTTCATCACAGCATCACCTCAGGCAGGGCAGAGGGTGAAGGTGAGCAGGAGGCTGCATGAGCACGTGGCCCTGTGCTTTAGCAGGGCCCTGCCCATTCCTGTCAGTACAGGGTGAAGAATGGAGGTTGGAAATAGTCAGGAGCTTCTGTAAGCACTTAACATTCCTGATTTCATTTGTCTTTGATCTCACTTGGACTAATTTTACTCTCTTCTGATCCTTTCCCTTGAAGGGGCTTTTATCTCATTGTCAGGCTTGCTAATTTAGTGCGGTGTTTTGAACCAGACCTCCTCCTACATTTCCAGAGCCTGGAAGGTATTTTTTCCTTAATCAGGGGGTGTTTATGCAGTTCTTTGAACATCTTAGGACAAGACTCATAGTGGGGCTTTTTGCAATGCCCAGTTTGGGTCCTGGACCCTGCTGCTCAACCTCTGTGTGTTCAAATGGCCTGTCCCCAAACACTGCAGTATTTTGGGGCTAAAAGGGCAGGAAGGAGGGATGGATGATTTGGGACAGGTCAGAGCAGCCTGATATTGGATGGGAAACTTCATTTGCCCAGTAGGAGGCCTTCCCAGGCTGTGCTAAATAACAAATAACAGTGGGTTATCACATGTGTTTGACCAACCAACCAGACACTTGGATCCAGGTAGGTTTTGACTTTGTGGAAAAGAGCTGGGTGATTTGGGGATATAGAAACTTCACCACTTGTTTTTGAAAAGAAAATACTTCTTCTTGCTGTGATGGAAAGTACGGAGCTTTTTGTTCTTACTCTGCTGCAAGCAGGTTGAGTGGATTTTTTAAGGAATTGAAGTTTGAGAGGCTGATAATTGCTTATTACCATGGGAAGCTGCACTGCAGATCCCTGCTCTATTCCTGGCTGCCTGAGCCAGCCAGCTGTCCCCTTGTGCTTCACCTTTGGAAGAGGAGGAATGTTTCCAGCAAAATGCCATTCTAATTGCTGTCTGAAGAAAGCAGAAAATAGGACAGATATATGGGCTGTTCCCCCAGCGATGAACAGGAGCTTCTAAGGACAACAAATGTAAGGAAAGGCAAAGAATGAGGACTTTGGAGAAATGTCTGGATCGTTTCTTCATGGATGAGGGTTCTCACGTGGATGGGAGTTCTCATGACATCATTTGAGCTGCCTCCTGTCCTTAGCTCAGCCAAATTCTCCCTGGCCACAGACTGTTAACCCTCCCCTGTGTTTGACCTTGTCACCTGCACAGGTGTTTGAGGGGCTTGATTTCTCCCTATTTCATACAGTGTTTTGGTGCTGGCTGTCTTGGATGGAAGGCTTCCAGGGGCAATGTCTTTCCAGTACGTTTGGAGCAGCCTTTCAGGTTCATGTTCCCTTGCTTCTACCCTCCTGTGGAGCCACTGAGTGAGTTCTGTAGCTTGCTGTGATCCTCAGAGGACTCATCTGCTCCAGGAGACACGAGTGGGCAGAACTGCCCTTACAGGAGGGGTTTGGTGGCAGTCCCTGTGTAGTGGCCTGGACCTGCCAGGGCTGTGCTGGCTGACAAATCCAGAAATTACATTGTGGTGTGTGCATTTGGGGAGCTCAGTGGCTGCTGCTTCTGGCTGTGCCTTCTTCCCACACAGTGTGAGTCAGCAGTATGGTGGAAGCATCCATGCAGGAAAACCCTAAATCCAGGGACTTACAGGCAGCTCTGTGTTGGCAGTGGCTGCCCCTTTGTCCTGGAGTACAGCACCTGGCTGTTGTGCTGACTGTGACATGGGCATCTCTGCATTCTGCTGGAGTTTGGCTTTGGGAACTGGGAGATTGCCCCCTGGACGTCCTAGTGAAGGTGACAGTGCTTGGGGCGGGGTCTGTTCTGTCCCATAATGATGGCAATTAACAGCCAGCAGGCAAGTAGGGACCTGTGGAGCCTCCTCATCACTGAAGGGACAGAACTGGCCAACTCCAACTCTTGGTGGTCGTTCTACCACCCAGCAGCGATGACAAACCTGACAAGTTCCCATCCCACGGGCACCGAATCGGCCCCACACGTGGGCAGGGTTGAACCCTTCCTTCCAGGGGCACCTGCGGTTTCTGGCACACGCCTTGAAATAATTCCATCTCCCTGCACGTGTAATTTTGCGTGTCATTGCCCCTAATTGCATGCTTAACACACACTCTTTTAAAGTGCAGCCCTTTTATCAGCAGTAGGTAGTAGCAGGTTTAATAGGGTGTTTGAATTCCTATAAAATTAATCTGTAGCCTTCTGCGATAGGAGACGGGCAGGGAGCCATGTGGTTCATATCCAGTGTTGATAAACTTGTTATAGAGGCAGGAAACATTTCTGATTGGAGCAGTGACAAAATAATTTGGAGCAGAGCCATAAAAAGAGTGGATGGTGATGGTTTGAGCACAGCAGAGATTGAAATTGCTGGTGTGTGGAAGCAGCGCTGCCAGCTAACATTGACTTAGTGTCTCTGGAGGACTCTAACAGCAAATGCATTTTATTAATGGCAATATTCTTTTAGGAAATGCTGAGCATTGTTTCAGAGGTGGAGCTCCCCTCGAGTACGTGGGTTTGGAAGTTGGCCAGACCAAGATCTGCTCAGCTGAGCTTGCTGCTGGTCATTGCTCCGGCCTCAGGCTGCAGCAGGAAGGTTGCCTAAGGGCACGTGCTGGGTACTGTCTGCTGGCAATTGGAATATCCTTCTCCAGTGGGGAAAATGCACCCATCCATTCTCATTCTGGCTTCACCTACAAGGGGTAAAATGCTCAGAGACAGCAGGTCATGTTTTTAGCCATTCTTTTGTTGTCTTTGCTTTGAAATGAGTTTCCCAGTCCACGAAAGTCAGTGGGAGTTTGCTGTCTTACTGGATTCCCAGCTGGACTTGAGCTCTTACTGCCACTGAGAGGGGGACCTGCTCCAACCAAGTTGTGGTCATTGTTATGGGGATGCCATGCTGGGCTTGGATACCTGTGCAACTTAGTTGTCCTGTGGGGGTTGATCAGCCTTGGAGGAGGCTCTGGTGTGCAGGTGAGGGGGAGCCTTTGCTTGGGCAGCCATGGCAGGTTGGGCCCTTACTGCATCTTCTGTGCTTGCTCTTGCTGTTGCTGTCACTTCACCGTCTTCCAGCTGTCTTCTGCTTGAATCCAGCCTGGAAAAAGCAAGTGTGGATAAGAGGGGTGGCTGCTGGACCCAGCAGGGGGTGGCAGAAATGGTGCAGGTTGTGCAGCCACAGGGGTGTGTGATGGAGAATGCAGTGCACAAGTGTCATGGGAAGGTGCTGGCCACCTCACAGGGCTGAATTTCACCTGGTGTCTCCAGCCACGCTTCCTTTGCTGTGTAAAACTGGGATGTGATTAACCAAGGAAAGCCAACCCTTCTGCAACACTGTCTTCTCTTTGCAGGGAGCCTGTTGGAAGGGGATTCCCTGGACCTGAGCTGTAGTGCTGGTCCTGCAAAGGTGATACTGGAGCCAAACCAAGAAGTGGTTTTGGACTGTAACCTGACCCCTGCCGAGCAAGTGATCAACATCACATGGAAGAAGAATGGGTTTCCATTAGTGGAGCAGGAACATCTCCACGTGCTTCCGAATGGATCGCTCTTCATCTCATCCCAGGCTGTGGCAAAAGACAGTAAAAATCCCGGTGCTGAGGGGAATTACTCCTGCGTGTCTCACAGCTCCCTAGGGACTGTCACCAGTCAGACGGCTGCAGTCAGGTTTTCAAGTAAGTGTTCTGGGTTTTTTTGGTTGATCTTCCTTCCTTCCCCTCGTGGTATTTATACAGAGCACTTACCTCCCTGAGAGTTTGAATGTCTATGAAGTCAAGTTCTGTTAATGATGTGTAGGGGATTAGGGATAGTCCACAAATAAGCAGTGTTGTCTTCCTGTTATCCCACTGTGAGCATCCTGTATAACTCTCCCAGGTAAGTGCCATCAGCCATGAATTAAAAACAGGACCCTCCTCACTCTCCAAAAGGCAGGGCTTGTTTTTGCAGGGAACTTCACAGCCCTGAGGGCAGCACTTTGTGCCTGGGGAGGTGACTGTGGGGGTCTGGCTGTGGCAGCTTGTGAGGTGAATATCTTGTGGTAATGGAGGAGATGAGAGAAAGGGCTCTTCCAGGTGGTTTCTGTTTGGATCTCTGAGAAGGACATTCCAAAGTCTGAACCACTGAATCTTTACATGGCATTCGAGAATAAAATTCCTTTGTGTTCAGGGATGGTTCCTGGAGCTGTTTTAAGGCTGTGAGCGCCGATAAATGATTCCTTGATGTACAAAACAGGTGAGGTTAGAAAATAATGCAGATACAGCAACACTTCTCTCTAGTACAGTGACTTATGGAAACATTGCTGAATGCAGGTGCACAGGACACCATCAGAGCACTTGATCAAAGCTGTGGTAGGTGAAGATGCAGAGTGGATGTTCTGACACCCTCTTTACACTGGGATGTTTTCAGCCTCTGGTAGCCCAGGCAGGGCTGTCCAGGTTTGGCCAAGTGGGTGTTTGAGGCTGTGAGTGCTTTGCTGTAGAAACCAGCATTGCTGGTGAAGCTTTACCAGATTAGGGGAAAGTCTTTTACCTTTGCAACATGTCCTGCTTTTCTGCTCAGAAAATGTTTAGCATGCAGCAGCCATAGATTGCTGGTCACCCGTCCCTCCTGTTCCCTCCTTTCTTTGATTTGTAGGGCCAGGTAAATAGCTGGTTCCAGCATTTTGTTAAGTGAAAGGACCCCAAGGGCTATGGGGATGGAGTCAGGGATCCTGCATGGAGATATTTTCTGGGGAGGTTGGAGTCCTGGAGTAGAAAAGCTGTCAGGAGGACAGGAGGATTTATTCAGCTGCTCCTGCCCCAGTTCCAGACAGCCAGAATTAGGATATATTCCCTTTTAGGAGTGATTTGTGTTGAAGTTTGCACTGTGCCTCTTGCCTGGTTGCAATGATTTGTGTCTCTCTTACGGTCCTGGGTTTCGTGTTTGGTTTCTCATGAGTGAGAACAGTGGAGACACCTCAAAACCAGGAGACTGATTTAAATTGCCCTTCCCTCCCCCTGGATTTTTCCAGAGGAGCCTACATAGGTGATGCCTCTTTCCATCTAATTCTGGGTTTCTCCCAGAAACGGGGAACTTCAGGTGAACTCTTTCCTTGTGTGTACTCATGTGTCTCATTTTATTACCATCTGCACAGGGAAAGTGCTGCCTCCGTGGCACACACGTGCACCTGCCATACCATAATACCCACTGCTGAGCAGAGAGCAGTGAGGGGATTGATTAATGAAATGCGTCTCTGCTTCGATTTGTTCTGTGGGCTGGACAGGAGCCCTTGCTCCATGAGCATTCAGCTGGAGCAGGTGAGGATTGTAAAGGCCTGGGATTTTCCGCTGCCACTGAACAGGGTCTCTCCAAAGCTGTTTGTTTGTGGATGGAGTTATTCTTTGTGCTGATTGCCCTGGGCGCTGCTGATCAGGACGAGGCAGTAGAAGAAAACCTGTTCAGCAGGTGGGATGTGTTATTCCTGCCATCAGCTTGTCCTTCTGGCCTGCAGGGCCTTTCCTTCCCTGGGATGGGGATCCCATGTGGGGATGTGAGTCACTCTGTCACCAAGTCTTGCAGTGAGACGTAGGAGGGGTTCACAATACCTGCCTTTCTCTGCACTGCTTTGGTGCTGTTAGTGTGTCTGCCATGTTTCAGGGAGTCCCCTTCTCCTCCCTGGCAGCCCCAGAGCAGCTCTGGCACCTCTGTGTAAGGGCTGCCAGCTTCCAGGTGGAGGGAGGGGACACTCCAGGCAGCAGTGAGCCTGGAGCTGGAAGAGGCTCTTTGGAGCAGTCAGGCTGGAGTGATGGAGGTTGGGATGGTGTGTGCAGGCTGTGGCACTGTGATGACTTCCGTCCTTCCACCGTGGCCCAGGAGTTCAGTTTTTTGGCATTTTGCTGGATAAACATGTGGCTCAGAACTGCCCAGTGTGACACTCTGTGTGCCACCAAGGGAGATCTGTGCCACGGTCCCCATCCAAACCTTGTGGCAGTGGTGGCCGTGGCAAACAAGGAGGAGCAAGGCTGTGAGGAACGTGGTGTGAGTGTGTCTGTTAAATGAGCAGCTGCTCAGGCTGATGAATCAGGTTTGTGGGTTTCTCAGATCCCTGAGTGTTCCCATATGGAAATACCAGGGGCATTGTTGTAGCTGTGGGAAGGTGTAGCTTTCTACCTGTTAATAACTACATTGGTGGAGATTTGTTAAAGCTTTTAATTTAGCTTAAACATTTTGTGCGAAGGGAGGTTGTAGAAAATTACAGTAATTGTGACTGTCAGATGAAGATGTTTGCTGTGCCTGGAGGGAACGGGCCAGTGCCTGTGGCTGCTGGCAGCGAGCTCGGGAGAGGTTTGGAGTGTTCCTGCACCTGGAGGACAGGCCAAAGCAGGAATCAACCCACATGGCTCTCATGATCCTCTCTCCACATGCGCAGCGTCTCTTCTCTGCGGTGCACGGTGTGTCTGGGATTTGAGGAACAGCGGGCTGGGATTTACTCTTACTTTAAGGATTAATTTTATGGATTTTATCCTATTTATTGTGTGGATTAGGTGCATAGGTGAGTGAAGGCTGATGACTGTAGGCAGAGCCAGGCTGGGCAGGGTGAATGCACAGGCTCTGGACCATCCGTGGATGTGCTGCTTTGAGTAGGTGGGGAGCTGGTGCCTGTGGAGAGCAGGAGCAATCCTGTACCTCTCTGTGGCCCTGCAGGCCGAGCCTGTGCTGGCTCTGCCCCGGGGCCGTGGCAAATCACTCCCATGGCTTTCTGTGCATGTCCCCCTTGCACCCCCGGCCTGTTCAGAGGTGAGTGGCTCAGGGGTGGGTGATCTGGGTGGTGAATGTGATCTCGGTGGGGGCTGAAGCCGCCCCCATCTTGGAAACACCTACTAATAATTACAGAAGGTACAAAGAGGACGAGCACACAGAGTCTGGGGGCAAAGCGCTGTGGGAGAGAGCAGCGAGCCCCTTTCAGAAGGCTGAATTCCTTGCATAGACTGCATTTTCTGCCTGGGGTGTAGTGTTGCTGGCTGGCAGTCTTTCCAAGCTCACAGCCTCCTGCATGGATCATGCTGCTGGGAGAGGGTGAGGGTGCTGTGTTTCACCATTCTGCAGTCACCCCTGGGCTCAGGGCTAAAAGCCTTGGCACACACGGCTTGGCTCCAGCTGGGTTTAACATGTCAGCGGGGAGGGAGCTGCTGCTCCACTCCTGGAGGTGCAGAGCCCGGCACTTTGGCATGTCACTGAGGGCAATTTGCTGTAATGCTCTTCACCTTCTCACCTGCAGTGGGTAATTTTTACTGAGTGGCCTATTAAGGTGTTCAGGATAATCAGTGTAAGGGGCGAGGAGGTGTTTTGTGGCTTGGGATGGCTTTGCAAGCTAAACCTTAGCCGAGGAGTGGAAAATAATGTTGAGTGTGTATCGTCTTTGTTTGCCTCTTCCCCTCAAGCATCTCCTTTCCCTGCCTCCCTACATGAAAACCTCTCACTTTGCAGCACTTCTGCAGCAGCCCCTTCCATCAGAACGTGTTTGTGGGGGGAGAACAGCCCCTCCAAGGATCCCTGTGGCCCCGGGGTGAGCAGTGTGTTGGAGCCTGTCCTGCACTCACTGTGACCGTCTGTGCAGTGCATCGGAGTAGCAGGACCTGCTCTCCAGTCCTCTCCTTCCACAGCAGCCTTGCCTGACTCTTTTCCTCCCAGCACCAGCTGTTACCAGCACAGCTCTGAGCCTGGGTTTGGTAGCACTGGAGGTGCTGGACATGTCCTGCCTCTTCCATTTCACCCTGGTGCCCCTTGGGATGAGAGAGGGATCACAGCTTTCCATGATCTTGGCCCCAGTCTGATACAGATGCTTGTGGAGCAGCGATGAGCCTGACCAGCATGGTTGTGCCTGAGCCTTGCAGGGCTGAGATCCAGGGGTCTTGTTCAGTCCTGCACCAGAGGAACCTTTTCACTGTTCTTATCTTGGTTTGGTGTTGCTTTCTGTGCACAAAAGATCCCTGTTCGTGTTCCCGTCCTCTCCTTCACCAGGGGGGCTTCAGGCTGCTGCTTGCAGAGGCGATTTTTTCCAGTCTATCCCTACCCCCACTATCCTCATCCTGTCAAAGGAATGTGACAGAGCTGCTCAGCTTCTGAATTCCCCCTGCAAGACTTATCACAAGAAGGTACTAACAGCCAAACCAGTTTGCTGAGCACTGCCAGGGTTGAAGCTCTGGCACCCACAGAGCTCCCAGCTCTGCCGGGAAGCTGTGACTCCACTTGGGAAGCCTGGCTGTTCCTGCTGCTCCGAGCGAGAGGGACACTCCCTAATCAGGGTCGCTGTTTAGTCACGCTCCTCCACATCCTAATGAGGAATCTGTCACGGGCACATTTCTTGGCTCTTTGCTTTTGAAGAGCCATTCCAGAGCCCAGCACAGCAGGCAGATGGGGCTGTAGATGGAGGTGAAGGGCAGGATTCGGTTCTCAGCAGGGAACTTCAAGCTTGCAGGCACAGGTCTGGCAGGTGATGGGCAGGAATAGCCAGGACAGGTTATTGCCTGGTAACCCGGGTAGCCCAGGAGGCTCTGTCACATTTTGTACACCAATATGATGCCACTTAATAATGAACAGCAGAGAGGCAGGTGACCCAACATGAAGCAGAGGAAACAGATGCCTACAGATTTCTTCTTTTTAGAAGGATTCCTCCCTCCCATCATGACCTTCCCAGGTACATGACCCTCCAGAGCCTGCCAAAATACTATCATTTATACCTGTGGGATGAAAAGAGGAAAATGGGAAAGATGATTAAGAATATTTGCTGCCAGGAGAAGCTTGTTTTGATGGTGCCATCCTGAACGTGTGCTGGCACTTGATGGATTTTCTTTAAACTCTGGGTTCAGCAAGTTTTATTAACATGAGCTTAGAAGATCTTGTAGAAATTACTCTGTGTTACGGCGGTCTGCAGTGTATATTTGAGCATACTAAAGCAGTTGGCTGAATTTAGGCCTTACATATTAATGTCTTTTTCAGGTTTTTTTTCCAGAAAAATATTTTTCATTGCCATTTGTATGGAATTGGAAAAGTAGACTTGGTGGACAGCTGGTGGGAGAATTTGGTCTGTAGCTGCTGCGGAGAGCAATGAGTTGCTTGGAACATGTGATAACTATTTAAATTAAAGAAAAACACTAATGACAGCTGAGAATATGCCGAGGTTAAAATGGGTCATGTAAAAGCATTTCATTTTCAAAACTCTACATACTTTCTCAAGCTAACACTGCAATAAAGCCTGTTTGTGTGTGCATGGATGTTTGTGTGTGTGTGAGATGCAAAGAAAACTTCAAGTTCAGAGTCCTACAAAATCCAGAGCAATGATGAATGTTCTTGGAAAGCGGTGGTGGGACAAGCACATGATTGTGTTGGAGGGCCAGAAGGTCACTTGGGGTCCTTGTGAGCACAGTGCTGTGCTTGGCCCAGCAGTCAAGTGTGTTTTCTGGCTGAAATTTATGTCTATTGTGCCACGTTGAGGGTTTCTGGCACCGTGTTCCAGCATTGCTGGATGGTTTGTACGGCAGGGTGGGTTTCACAGCAAGGGCAGTTTAACAGAGACGTATTGAAAGCAGAAGCCAGTTCTTGTGGTGGAGAAGAATACAGGCTTTCTGCCCCCATCCAGGAGCCTGCATGAATATTCAACTCTCTACCGTGTGACTGAGATGCCTTCGGGTTATGCCATTGATAGGACAGATGCTGACAGCCCTGGGGGAGGATTTCTGCTCCTGGAGTCTGCAGGGTTTTGCTCTGTGCATGGAAGGGGAGCAAGATGAAGCAGCTGCGAGTGAAGGATGGGAGGGGTGTGGTCCAAGAGCAATCCCAAACCTTAGTGCTTTGTCTCCAAAACAAGTTCACCCTTTAGTAAAGACACATGCAGACAGGGATGAGCCTTGGAGAGCAGACAAGTGTCCTGGCATTTTTGAAATCCATCCTCCTCCTCTTAGCAAGGTGTCTGTTCCCCTTGGCTGCATCCCATCTGCTTGAGTAGGATGAGGTTGGGTTTTGCAGATAGAAGAAGGAGGGTCATAACCCTTGCAGCCTCTGCCCCTGGTCTCCAGCACTGCCAGCCCGTGGGCAGTTGTTTCGTGTAAATAACTTGCCATCTGGCTTTATTCTTCCTCTTGCCTTGCTTTAATTTCCTGTGGCTGCAGGAATGCTACAAGACAAGGGGAAACTCTCATCTCTCCGGCTGTGGCATTTCCCTTCTGTTTCTCATTGTGCATGTCCTTCCTAAATTGAGCAAGGGAAAAGACAAGGAAGCAATTTAGGAAGGTAGCTGCTGAAACCAGCTAATTGCCTGCCTTTCTCTCACGCTGTTGCCCTGAGGGAGAAAATAAGGAAAGAAGCAAATTTGCAAATTGAAACCTTTCAGTTACTGTTGCTACGACTGCTGACGGTCTGCGGGGCACAGGAAAGGGAGGAATTGCACTTCAGGTTATCTTTGGGAGAGAAAAGCCTTCCTCATAGCTCATACATCATAGCAGGTTTGCATTGCCCAGCAGAAACATTGAGTTATTAACTTTCCTTCCCTTTTTCTTTCCCCAGCATTGTCACGCTTTTTCCAGCAGCCGGAGTCGCAGACGGTGGAAGAAAATGGCATGGCCCGGTTTGAGTGTCGGATCGAAGGGCTGCCCTCCCCTGTCATCACGTGGGAGAAGGACCATGAAGCTGTTCCAGCAGAACCCAGGTGATTCCCTGGTTGCTTTCCCGGGTCAGCTTGAAAAAGAGCAAAACAGAACCTGACCATTGAGGATGTGGAAATCCTTTGTAAGACGGTAGAATGAAGAGAGAGCTCATTGGGTTTGGACCTGGTAATTAAGTGATTTAAGAGGAGGTATTTGAGGGGCCCATGCAACATATAAAACACCTAAATAAAATTAACTTTCTCCCAAAGATCCAAGACACAGAATTAAAAAACCCACCTTGATATTGTGCTGTGTTACAGCACAGAACCTGTGTGTGCCTGGGACAGGGCACGGCAGCTGCAGTGTGGACTGCCCTTGGCTCGTCCTCTGGTGTGAAGTGAGGTGGAATTCTTTGGGGGACTGGGACCTGACATGAGCAATATTTCTCCAGCTGACCATGGAGTTGGTACTGGGTGTACCCAACTGAACTTTTTTTGGTTGTGGCTTTAGAGACAGTTGTTTTCTTCACTGGTTTCCCACACGGATTTATCTCAGGGTTAATGACTCTTCTAGAGCACAGTGTGTGCTTAGTAACCTGGGAGGTCTTTCTCTTCGTTTTACTCCCATGTTGGGAGGGCACCTAATAAAAGACCCAGAATTTTCCTTTTTTTTATTTTTTTGGAAAAGATGAGAGTCCTGCAGCATGATACCTTTTCCTTAATGAAAGTCAGTTAAAGGCATGAGAAGGGGATAAACTATTATTTGGCTGTTAGTTGGTCTGTAGACATCACTTCTGCAGGGGATCAGTCACTCAATTGTCCTTTAGTTCTTAAAAACTCCTTTTCTGTTCTGCAGCAGGAGCTGTTTCCTTCCCAGAGAAGTTAATCCAAGAGGCAGGAGAGGAAAGAAAGGGGTGGGGTAAGGTTTAGGAATACTTTTGCAGCAGTGGCTTTCTATAAGAATAACCACTGAAATCTTTGAGTCTGAAGTGTGGCATCTAAAGGTTTATAGGAGGCTGTTGCTTTGTAAGGGGAAGAAAATTAATTAATAAAAAAGGAAGGGGAAAAAAAACAAAAAAGAAGGGATTGCAGGGAGAAGTGTGCCATAGATAGGGCAATGGCTTTTTAATGAGACAGCTCGATGGATATTGTGAAATTACTTGCTCAGGGATTGCTTTCATCACGGGCAGCCTGAAAATTGTTTTCCTTGTAAAAGCCAGGCCATAATCTCTGGCTGCAAATCTTGCTTTTTAAATCATGTTCTAGCTAATATGCTTTTTCAGAAGGATTTGCTTTTTTTTGTTGTTGTCTAGTTGTCGTTGGATTTAATATAACCGGCTTTCGAAGGAATTAAGTGAATTCCAGGAAACGCTGGCTGCCAACCAGAGCTCTGTGTTATCCTCCCTGCATCGTGCCTAAGGACCGGATCTGAGGCTGCCCTGGTTGCTGTGGGCTCCCTCCTGTGCACACAGGGATGAGCCTGTGCAAATGCAATCCTGTGGCTGGGCAGGCATGGGGGGGATGATTTCATAGTCCAGAACAGCAGGGTTGGGAGGGGTGCAAAATCAGGCTCTGGGGCTGGAGATACAACCCTGGAGTAGTGCTGTTACACCAGGGCTTGGGATTTCTTTTGAGACAGAGAGGATAATCATGGAAAACTCACATTGCTTCCCCCTCTTCCCCCTCTTCCTTTTCCATTTCCCCCCTCTTCCTTTTCCGTTTCCCGTTTTCTTTCTTTCTTTCTTTCCCCCTTTTCTTTCTTTCCCCCTTTTCTTTCTTTCCCCCTTTTCTTTCTTTCCCCC